GGGCCATAAGTTAAACACTACTGCTCAGCAGAACCGTGGTGTATTATACGAATATCCGAAAGAAAAGAATTATTCGCTGGTATTAGTAAACTTTAAAGCACAGAGAGATATCGATCGAAATGACTCGCAGAGAATAAAAAGAAGACGCCCGCACTCGCTGACAGATTTTTTGCAACTGGCGTGGAAATTATTTTTAGCTATAACTTAAAGACCATAAGTCACATGAAATTGAAATTTGGTATGCAGGCACATATATGGGAGCTGTTTAGAGTAAAGTATATATAAATGAGTTTGTAAAAGGGGAATAAATACTTATGTATTCATCTAGTAGATCACTCAGATATTTTTTTTGAAACCTTACATTTTTTAGATCATTTCGAAATGGAAAGATTCATAAGCATTCTACCGAAAAAGTACAGCTATACTAAAGCAGCGAAGCGAATAGGCAGCTAAACGGAATGCACCGTAGTAAACTAATTTAAAAATTCTATCTTTATATTAATTCACCTAACATTAATAATGGAACTAGATTTGTAGTATAGAGAGTGATGATCAATATATGTTAGTTGAAGTACGATAAAGCTAAAAATATGGCTCATAAGGATGCCTTAATTTAAACAGAAAGAAAATAGATTTTCTCCTCTAATTTATGCTGAACTTAATATTTGAGTTACTGTTTTATATTTTGATTTGTTTACCCCGGACGACGTCGGGTGCTCTGCTTGTTATCAATATAAAAATTCATTACTTTAAAACAAATCAACTATATTAGATACGTATGTATGTACAGCTGTGCTCACGAAAATCGTAGTAAAATGTATTGACAGGTTTGGACATTTTTTTCTTTCCTTACTTAATTTAATTTTTTTATAAAAATATAATTAATTCTATAACAAAAGACAATTGAGTTGAAGTCTCAAACTTTATAGAAAATTTACAAAAATTGAGAAAATTAAAAAAAAATTTGTAGCCCATTCAGTTTCAGTAGAAGAAGAGCTCGAGTCAGAATCTGTTTGCATATTTTAAGCTACAAATTTAAAACATATTTAGTTGGTGTGCTTATTAAATACAACATTCACATTCAAAGCTACATATATCATATCCAAGAGTCGGTAGTTTGCACCTTTTCCAAATTCTTATAACTTACATTGCACCGTAGCAGTAGTCGTCTTAAGTTTGACATACTGACAGCTGATTTCTCAGTGGATGTTTAATTATAATCAAAACATTATCTCTTATTGTCATCTTCTCAGTGTACTTA